GGGGTGCGGTGCGGTGGGGAGGGGGTGTTATCATTCCTACATACACATCCGGCTGAGTGGGGTGCAGTGGGGTTGTGAAATGACACGATATGTGTCTATGACAAGGGCGTGACAGGAGAGCACAGGCAGGCAGAGAGCAAGCAGCGGGCATGCAGACAAGGCGCGGCTCGACAGCGAGCGCGGGCTACGGGGCTAAGCTGCGGGCGCCCCGCGCCCGTGCGGGCGCGCAGTGCCCAGCCCGCCCGCACCTTCCGGGGGTGCACCGGCAAGTGGCGCTCGCAGGTAATGTGCCGCTGCTGCGCGCGCGCAAAGCCGGGCGCGGCGCCGGACAGCCCATACTCCCGGGCAGCGAGCAGCCGCGCGGTGTTGACCAGGCCGCCGCCGCCGTCGCCGCCGCCGCCGCCCTCGCGCCGCTGCTGCCGCTCCCGGCGGGAGCTGGAGGATGGCGGCTGCTGCTGCTGCTGCTGCGGAGGCGGCGCGGCGGTGGCGGCTCGGCTGCGAGTGACCACTGCCGGCGCCTCCTGCGCTTGCGGTGGCTGCGTCCTGCGGCGCTTCTCCGCGGGCGTGCTGCCGCGCCCGATCAGCGGCTGCGCAGCAGACAGGCGCACATGGGACAGTCAGTTGGGGTGTGGTGAGGGGACATGGGTCCCGATAGAGGCAAAAGAGTCACAAGCGCCCAGCGACCTGCAAATAGCCGCAACCCTCACAGCCCCACCACCTGCGGGCGTGCCAACAGCCCTCCCAATTCGCTGCACGCCCACGCGGGCGCCGCCACCCCTGCGCCCCCGCCCCAGCCGACGGCGCCCCGCAGCGGCGCTGCCCTCGCGGCGTGCCACCCCCGCCGGACCAAGGGTCCGAGCGTGCGCCTTGCCGCACGCCCGGCCACCCCACCGACCCCGCGCAGTGCCTCACCACGTCCCGCGGCCCCGCCCCCGCGGTGCTCATCCGCACATCCATCACGATCGGCTGCTCCTCCGGGCTCAGAGGCTCCGGCGGGGCGTCGCTGAGCCGCCGGCAGCCCGCGAACAGCTGGGAGCGCTGCGCGCGACCGAGGTGCGCGCCGTGCATAAACCAGAGCGGCGTGTTTGCCTCAAGCAGCTCGCCGTCGCTGTCCGAGGCGTCCTCGTCGTCGTCTTCCTCGTATTCATCGTCGTCCTCGTCCTCGTCATCGTCCTCATCCTCGTCCTCGTCGAGTTCGTAGCTGGCCGGGTCGCCGCTGGGCATGTCGTCCGCAGCGGCCGCGGCGGCGCGGTCGTCGTCGTCGCCGCCATCGCTGCCGTTGCGGCGAGCCTCCGCGGCGGCGCCGTCTTCAGGCGTGGCGTCTGGGGAGCGCGAGTACCGATTTCGGGAAATGGGGAGGGGCCGGCGGGGGCCGAGCAGCGGCAGCGAGGGGCAAGCGCTCGGTGCGTTGGCACCACAGAGCAGCGAGCCGGGCGGGGTGTCCGCAGTCGCGCGTCTGGCCAGCAGCAGGTGATTGCACAGCCAGAAAAATTCGATTGTGCTCACCGCCATCGCTCTGCGCGCCCAGACAGGCTAGCCAGCGACTCCCCGAGCCCTCAGCCATCCTGGTTCCCAGATCCTGCGATATATGTGGGCCCTACTGAACTCCACTGAGTTCTGAGGTACCTCCAGATAAATGCCGTGCGGCCTGATGAGGCAGCGCCGCGAGTTGGGGCAGCACAAGTCGCACACGCGATCTTTGATGTCACTCTGCACGTAACTCGACCTTTGGTAGTGGTGACGAAGGGCTCCTTCGTGCGTCGCTTCCGTTTTAATTGTAGGTCATATGTGCTGCTACTGCATGGGTGCCGTCGGGGGGCCAGGGCGTGGCCAATGAGGTCCGCAATCTCAGTCGGTTGAGCCCATGTGCGCAACCACCCTCCTGCGTGCGTACCAACTTGCGCCCGGCTGTCGGTCGGTGCAGCACGCGGGCGGCTTGCACAGCTGCCGTGCATGTCTGTGACACTCAATCTCGTGTCAGAAAGTGTCTCCCTGCTTACACGACCCATCAACTCCAATTTTCGGGGCGACGCCGTCGCCAACACGACCATGCATGCAAGTGTGCTGGTGCAGGGCGGTGGACAAGTGGCAAAATGCGACTCGGCTCGTGCACAGGCGGCGCAGGGTGAGGTGCTACATACAGTTGTCAGGGTTAGTTTGAGGGCCACGGGAATGTTGATACGGCGTGCCGATGTATGTGCATCGATGCTGAATGTGTCACAGCTGGAAGCTGGATTGGTGCAGTTCTTAAGGCGCTATCAGAAGGTGGGTTGCATCACATGCAGATTGGGTTTGTAATTCAGGTCAACATTGGCATGAAAAGCGGCCCTCCTGCCCCACAACGGGCACAGCGTGCAACAGCGCACCCCACCATGCCCCAACTGGGGGTGCTGTCCCATGCCACGCACCCTCCCTTGCGGTGTTGATTACCCCACAATGCCTGCGACGCTGCGCTCAATGGGGCGCCCCTGCTCCAGCTCCCAGTGGACACCATTGCGGTCTCGCAGGTACATGAATGCTGCAGGGCGGGGCGGACGAGGTGAGGGTGGGGG